GCCTAACAACATACAGATTGCTAACCAATTTAATAAAAAAATTGGGGAAAACATGACCCAGACCCCAATCTCCCGCTGATAGAAGAGGCACAAAGACACAAACCTTAGCGGTTTATGAGTTTAAATATTAAGGATTTTAACAATTTTTAACTCAACAACAATTTGTCTTAATTAAAATCTTTATATAAAACTTTAACTCAATTTGATGTACTATGACCAATATCATAGTAGTATCCACAATGTGTTATGCCTTTTGAGGATGTTTGTTTGCTGACCAAAACATGTAAAGGCATCACATAAATATACATTTGAGTCACACTGGACAGTATCAAATCATTGTACAAGTTGTCTAATCCACTGTTATACCACTATAATTCACATAACCAAAACACCTTACACACAGCAAATTTTTAAGATTTGATGGCACCTAAAAATTACTACAAGAAACTCACAGGTACTTAACATATGCATTTCTTTAGGTAACTATTTTTGCTTTCATTCAGTCAAATTTCATGACTGTTGATATATGCCAGATGACAGAAAAACAGAAAATTATATTATTTTCATTCATACACACCATTTTACATGATTTTTTTAGAAACACCTGCATTAAATACAGACTTTATAATCTCCATATGCCATGGTAAAACAAGCATTTTGTACACTATAGATTTGATACTTCTCACATATCAAAAATAGATAAAGCTGATTTTTAAAAATATGGCTTTGACTTTCAGTTAAAATAAGGCCACAGAAGTGGGTAAATTGAGTCGTGCAATAAATCTCATATCCATGGCAAATTTTGCTCTCATAATTTCTTTCCATGAATTACACTACATCTCCCATCCAACTAGCCCAGTACACCCAGTAAACTGACATATTAACAGAGGAGGATAGTACATTTGCATAGGTACCTATTTCACAAGTCTGAAGTATACCATGTGTGTTCATGTTCAAATCCATGCCCAGAGACAAACGATTCAAACTTTTTTGTGGCTTTCCTCATTTCCTTCAGGCAAATGCTGGAGTAGGCAATGAAAGACAATGGAACGTATTTGTAAGTAGCTGTAGTCTACCATTCGTAATCACCATAACATTTGAGTTGAGAAAGCGTTACTAATAATCCAAAAATGAACCATGAACTAAAATTAGATTAAAATAAGAGGTAACAAATTTTAATGAAGCACCAGCATGGATTAGAGTCCACCATTTTTATTGCCATACACAACATTTAGATTTAAAAACTGTCAGAGAGTGCAATAAATTCATTACCTGATTACATAGAAGTCATGGTAACTGTTACATCATAACACTTTTCTCTTGTGTGGGCTCTTTCGAAGATTAGTGATGAATGAGTGAATGGAAAGCTGCAGCTCACAACATATACTTGAAATTAAACATTAAACTTACAAGATTTGTGTGCTAAGAGTCTTTTCAATCATACAGCAAGTACCTGCGAAGCATGAATCTGAACTTCAGTAGTATTTGTTCTTTTCAACCAAAATTAATTATATGATGACAAGAACAAACAACAATACAGCAACAAAATATAACCCTTCATTGAAATATGGAACAATCATAGCTGTGCATATATATAAGTACAGTACCAAATTCACGACAAGCAAGCAATGCATGTGGTATTAGTGTATGGATTTTATACCGAACACATCATTCAACACACACAACTTCAATCAGTGGTAAACTCTTAATTTACAATTTATATTACCTTTCATTTTATTATATTTTTTACAACAAACACCCTATGCCCCATTTTTTTCTTTATCATACCCTCAACCCCAGGCTACTGGGGGGGGGGGTAAACACTGGCCAATGTATGGATTTAGCAGAAAACTGATAATGAATGTACAAAATGCCTGACAATGAACTTTATGTTTGAAACATGTAGCTGACAGAAATATATCATTGATGCTGTACACTGTGTTGAGTGAGTTGACATACCCATAAATAAATGATATATACTCATTTACCTCCACTTCACTCCCATTCCAGTAAATGACAGATATCAAAGAGACTTTTATTGTGGACATGGAAGCTAGGGAAAGATAGTTCAGCAGAAAGTGTATAAACTCCGTGGTTAGTCCGCAAGCGAACTATACTGACTGAGTGACTGCCGCTTGTCAGTGAAGTTAAAAAGTGTATACTAATGTTAATAACAAATTGTATTTAAACAATGACAAGCATTTAATGCAAATATATAATAAATCAGAAATTTAGACCCTAATTCATGATAAATATTTTCACCAAATTGTGAGAGCTGTAAGGCTTATCCGTAATAAGAAATACAGAATTTGGTTTCCATAATATAGAGTTTCTTTACAAGCCCTTAAAACATGGGCTGCAGTTTTCATTATTTCTAGAGAAAAGCAGTGTAAAGTAAAGGTATCCCTCTAACAGACCGTGGAGGCCCATAGGGTTGTGAGATGTTGAGGTTCACACATTTTCTAGACAATCAGCTCATAGATGGTGGAAAATTTGTCAGCATTATGCGCCAGCCATCCTTACCCCCAGGGATATTCATGGTACTCATTTCTGTTAGAGGCTGAGACGACCCCAGGGCCACAGTGCGGCTGGAAGGACTAGGTCAATTGAAAAAAAAAGCCAATGACCTCATCAGGACTTGAACCCGTGACCTTCCAGCTTGTAGCATAGTGCCTCAAACAACTACGCTAAAAAATATTTAATTTAAACATGGGGGAATTCGTCTTGATTTTTGTAATAGTAAATCTATAGATCTGAATGTTGTACAAAGACACTATTCTTCTTACCTCCAGCTGTACACCACACTGGATTGTATCATACTGTTCACCAAGGCTTGGTAAGAAGTAGAAGGGTAACCGGAAAGTAAAATAATCATAGAGCTGGTGTAAAAAAATAATAAACTTAGTTCTACTAACATTGTTATACATGCTTTAACATAAGAACATCAGTATTCAAGTGGGTCCCTTCTATTCTTACTCCAGATCATAGTTACATCTCTGAAGTTTTCTTCTTTTACCTTACATATACTTTATAATACTAGTGGAATGATCTTTAGTGTCTCCTGCATCACAACAGATCAATAAAGGTCAAGGTGCAAGGGCCCGCATTTAGGCCCACTCCTTACATATGTATATATGTACATACTGTATGTATGGTTGTATGCATGTATGTGTCCTGCATCTTCTACCGTCTACCCTTTTCATGGTCTTGTTGTTTGAAGGCAAATCAGTTATATTAAAATCTGAAACATACGAGGGGGTACCCAAAAGAAACCTAACTTATTTTTTTTGAACTTATTTATTCAAATTTTAAGCACAAACCTTCAATCCCCTTCAAAGTACTCTCCACTTACACTAATACACTTGTCTAGTCTTTTATTCCATTTTTCAAAACATTGTCTAAATTCATCTTTTGAGATGCTTGACAGCGCCTCCGTCGTTTTTTCCTTCAC